GAACAGGTTATATCAGTTTAGTGAGATTCATGAGATATTTGTTAATTTCCTGCATTTTACCGTAATAATCCATGTCTGCTTGAGGCAGAAAGACGTAAAAGGCCAAGGTAATTTTGTCTTTTTATTGGCAGAGTTTTGTATCAATTTATTATTTAGGGAATCAAGGATGATAGCTCAAAAAGATCTCTTAACTTGCCAATTAATATACCAATTCCTAGAAGAAAAATCTTTTACAGGTAAAGAAATCAAGGAAGAAATAAGCTCCATTTATCCTCTTACATGGACATGTAGAAAGAATATGTGGTGTTACCGCAAACCTTGCTCAAATCTCGCTTGAATCTCCATCATATTTGGTGACAGAAAAGCAGAAAAGCCAAGGGATTTATGTCTTTCTATTGCCAGAGTTTTGTATCAATGTATTATTTATTTATTTATTATTACAGCTCAGAAAATCCCTTTACTTGACCATTAATATTTATATAATTTCTTAGAAAAAGTCTAAATTCCTCCTCTTTAAGGGGCAAAGAGACACAAAGGCCAGGTTATAATATCTTTCTGATTCATCCCAATGTTCGGAGATTGAGGATGATCCTCTAGTGAAATCTTCTCTCCCATCAATATACTTTCATCCTATCTGTTTCTCACTTTACGCGAATCCATACCTTGCTTCATCTTATATGTGGTAGCCAAGTCGCCTCGATCAAGAAAATCAGGGTTGGATCTACTAGCCTTCTCAATCAGCCTGCTTTTATTATTGATTTCCACAACTTGTTATGAAGAAGAAAAAATTGTTGAAGGTTGTAGTATTTCGTACATATTTATATATGATCATAAAATATGATTGTACAATGTTTTGGTACACCTAGTCACCATTGTTTTCTTAACCCCCCAAACTGTTTCAAACTGGCAATCAATCATGAATTACATTTTGTTCAAAAATGGACAATAAAATCAGTAAATAGCACTCAAAATTTGATTTTTCTGTTTTAAAGAGGGGTAAGAATTTGTCAGACTGGTTCCTTTGCTTCTCCTGATCAAAAGCCCCACTATACATAGATAATCACTTACAGTAGACCATGCATATCTTGATAATTGGAAGAGTAATCACGTGATGAAAAACAACACACGTTTGAGCATCAGACCTTGTAATACCAGAACTTTAATGTTAGTAATGAACTTTTGTAGAGACCACAAATGATGTTGGCAGGTGCGTTTACACATTATAACCCCTGATGCTGTTCCATGTGATGCTTGGTTAATCATTAATCAGCAAAAAAAACACCTTTCCTCTCCACCGGTAAAAGATCTTCCGATTGGGAGTCGTCATGCAGTGATGTGCTGATCAATGGGAGTCGTCATGCAGTGATGTGCTGATCAGTGATAAAGAGTGCATACATTTTTTCATTTTCAATTTAGCTGTCATATTGGACAGCATCAACACTTTCATTGAGATTTTGATGATGATAGAGATGTTCATTAATGGAATTGTTATGATCTCCAAACACATGATAATTTCATAGATGTGCCCATTGTATTTATGGTGTAGAGGGGACATTTGGACTGTTAATAATGGCAATTTGAGGAAATTCTTTGGAGTAAGATACCGGTATATGGAGAATTCTATTAAATGAAAAGTAACTTTCAGAGTTTATTCAAATATTTTACTTCATGAAGTGTATCCAGTAGAGTGATTGATGATTATATTTATCCAACTGCTAAGAAAGCAAGTATACCCTTACAACCAGAAGGACCTATGGCTTTAAATCCTATCCGAGAGACTTTTTAATGAGTTTTAGTGTGTGGGATGCCTCTCTCAGATACTGGAGTACCAGTGGCACAGGCAGTGTTTTACCTTCCCTGTTATGTTACATGTACATTTCTATCATTGGGTCAAAGTGTATGAATTAATGTCCTTTTGGTTCTTAGCAGGTGCAGTATTGTAGCATTATTGCACATAAACTACTTCATAATGTGAAGTTCTCATACTTATCTCAATGATTACAATACATATTATCTGACAAGAAAAAGTTAAGACCTCCCTTGCCTCTCCTGATAAAAAAATCACGGTCATTTAACTATTTTGCTGTGATAGCACTGGGACATCCTAGTAAACTAAAAGCTAACAAGACCGACAATGTTGGTCTGGTGAACCCTCTAAAACGGTTGTCTGTCTTGTGGGCTGTAGTAGGTAGGTAACACTTGAGAAACAGTACGAAACGTATGAGGCTGATGATGCCTGGATCGAAGACCATCGTCACTGAGTATGACAAGTTGGTATCAGTGCGCACCTGAACTTCAGGGCAGAGAGAGGAAACGGAATAGGGTCATATCAATAACATGATTAAGGTTTTAGGAGAGATGTCAGGGTTTGTTTTCTATACAGTGAGATCAGGCTGTTGGATGCTAGCCTTCCGGATGCTGTGTGGTTGTGTCTTTGGTGGATGTGTGTCAATGTGAAGTGGTGCTCTCCTCTTGACATCCATGGACAGGTTCTGGGAGGATGATTGTGTGTGTGTGTGTGTTTGTTTGTTGTTGTTTTTTTTGGGGGGGGGGGAGCGGGGAGTGGTTCTTCTGGTGGCACTCTTTGAGAATGTTTTAACATGTTTTTCTAATCATTTCTATAAAGTTTCATGCCTTAGACAATGAAGTTTTAAATTCTTCCTTGAGGATTTTAGGTTAATGTTTTCAATTTTTATTTTCATCCGATTGGCGTCTCTACTCCTTTCATATTGCTCTGTTGATCTTTCTCCCCCACCTCCCCGCTGTAATTTTTCTCCCTCTTCTCCCTCTGTCAATTTCTCTATCTCTCCCCCTCACTTTATCTCTCCACTCTCTGCCTGCGCTGCCCCTTTTTCTCTCACCCCCCCCCCTCTCCTCCCCCTCTCACCCTTCACCCTTTCCCTCCCCCCCCCCCAATCACCTTCCTGTCTGGTATCTATCTGTCAATCAGAGCTAGTCTGGCTCACTCTCTCATGACATTGACCTGAATGTGCTTCATAGCCCGGGATAGTGTTTTTTTCTCAATGAGCGCTCGATCCCAGTGTGACCTGGCTTACCAAACTGTTTCAATCATTTTGGGGATATCCCACATATCTATATCCTTGACATGCATCTAATCTATATCAATTTCTTGACACTGGATACTTTAGATCCAAGTCAAATAATGTCTTTATATAATATTGGATGGCTTTGAGTGTGATACAAGAATATATTGCTCGAGCTTTGACAATATTGGACAAGTCAAAGATGAGTCTGATATTGACTTAGCTAGAGCAATATATTCTTGTATCACACAAAAACAAAGCCATACAACATTATTATTATTATCTATATTAGTCTGACTAGCGAAATAACAAAATTTGGCGTTATTTTTGTGTGACCTCGCCATGATATCGATATCGATAGTCGAAGTTCCTGGATGATTGAGTAATATGAAAACAATATTGGTCCGTCATCCGGGTACTGTGCTAACGATATTGAATACTCTGATTTATTGTACCACTTGGAAGCCTTATATAGGTAATAAGTATTCATATCTTACACAGATAGATGTACATGTAATTGAATTTGAACTAGACATTATTTCTATATATTTACTTACTTACTTGGTACAGTAAGTAAGTATGTAGAAATAATGATTTAATTTATACGGTATAGATCTATTAACTGAATTTGTGCTGGATAGTATCCAGACGAAGTGACTGCCACTCTTTCCCCTTCATTTTCTCTCATCCGTCTTGGTAGAAAATCTCATTGTTATGAATACTGTCTTAATTTGTTAATATTATAAATCTCAGAATCCAGAGCAACTCACATCTCATTCCCACAATCTGTTTTCATAGGGTTAGCAACCATATGCTCTTCCCTCACTCCTTCTTAACAACTTTTCAATTCTTTTGTAATCTTTCACTTGACAGGCTCATTAAAAAAAAATGTTAATCCAATATTAGTTCCTTTTTCATCATGCAATCAGTTTCCTGTGACTAGACTAGACAATGTCCAACTATTCTTTCTTGCCCTTTATTCTCTCGCCCTCTTGAACTCTTCCTCTTGAACTCTTCCTCTATCCATTTCCGCTCTGTTTTCAGTCTAAGTGTTAACATTTGTGTCAAGTCTGTAACAATCCTGGTTTGTCTATTATAGTAGGGTTTCCTGCTGGCTTCCATCCATGTCATGTTGTGGTGTATTCATTTTAGATTTCCTTCAGAGATTGTCACATTTGTCTTGTTTTTAGTCATGTCCTCTTCCAAGTTCATTTCACTGACTATCTGTTCTACTTCTTGATTAAATGACTTTGTTATTTGACTTCATAAAAAAAAATTCTTAATGCTGTTTTTACCTTATTATTTCTATGTCAATGAGTGTATTTTTCACAGTTCTGTAGTGTCAATTAATTCATTATATGCTGTTCTCTATAACCTCATTAATGCAGATCAACTACCAGTAAAAAAAAGAAGAAAGAAAAAAGCCACCTGCAATGGATACAAAAAAACATAAAAAATCATGGTGCCGATTCAGTTGGTCCCTAGATATAAATAATTTGATACATGTCTGTAAAACCCCAATCACACAAACACACAGTACCGTAGTAGTTCTGTATATGATTATGATAATACAGAGATAATTGATTACACCTAGAGGCTTTTGTTGCGTGCTGCTATATTTTTCACCCCACTTGCTATTCGTTTGTACTTATTAGATATTTTAGTTTGCCAGATTATTTGTTCGTAGCTGTTTTATTCTGCTTCCCATATGAAAATTTTCATTTGTATTTTGTAACAAGACATTTTTATTAGCTGGTTTATACTGCTTTGAAAATATAGTTTTTTTTTAACCAAGAATTTTTTTATTTTATCCTCGAGTTTAACAACGCATAATGTTCATATTCTTTGGTTAAATATCTGAAATATGGATTATTGCAGTTTTTAGATGTTGACATAAGCATTGAAATATTGAAATTAATTTTGTTCTCTTCTTTTCTATTTTTGTTTTTGCCACAGAATTTCATTTGGGTGCTGTGGGAGATTTACATCAGCGGAGATCATGTCGTTCTGTCTCTCTGTCATGCTTGTATTCCTGTGGGTCATGACAGGCCACTGGTTACTCATGGATGGTAAGAAATACAGTGATACACATCCTCCATCCTCTCTATTACATATTAGATTACCCCGCCCCCCCCCCCACCTTACCCCCCCCCCCCCCTCCCCCTTCTCTACATTACCCCAGATCTGTGATATTTTAGCTACCATTCCATTTTTCTCTACCTCCAGGATGGTACGATATGGGGTGTATTCTTACCCTTGTCCCCTCGTATAGCCTATCCCCCTTCCTCCAATTTCCCATTTGTATATAACCCATTCCCCTATTGAACCTAAATGCAATTTTTTTTATACCAATGTTTACCATTCCTCTAATAATTTCAATCTCTTCTCCATACCCCATGGCCCCCTTTTCATCTTTCCTACCCCTTATCAGATTCAACATCTAATATTCCCCATTCTCTGTAAATAAAAAAGCAAACAAGTGATGATTAATGGCAACAATATTTCCAAATGGCCATTTGGGTACATGCATGAATTATTGTAGATGAGGAGGTGATATATTTCTGTAATACCTCAGTCACATGACCAAGCTGACTGCACACTGACTCCAAGGCAACTGATCAGCGTAATGCAATCATTGTTTAGCCTGTCGTTGGTCTGTTGTTAATCTCGATGGTGTAAATGGGGCATAATCGATTACATGTACTGGTAAGTGATTTCTCCCAGGCATGCATGAGTCATCAAATATACACCTCAGATTGCTGTTCAAAGACGATAGAGAATATAATCATATAATATTGATTGATCTGTGCTCTACCACTCATTTCTAAAGCTTTGTCCACACGCATACGGCCTATAAAGCTACAGACAAATCTAGTGCCCAATATAGTGCCCTTCTCTTATCTGTATCATATAATGCAGAGACTAGTTAGTACGTTGTGTACACTGCTACCCTTTTAAAAAATCTCTGTCTGTCATTCATTTACATATGAAATAGTTTTCTTTGATTATCTTGATTATTTGAATTAATTTATTATTTACGATGGTATACCGTGACAATGACATATCTGAGTGAGAATTTACATAGTTTTTATCTGGAGTGATATTAAATAATATAACATCTGTTAATGATGTCTTTATGTTTCCGTTATTTCCACCACAGCACTTGCCATGGGTCTGTGTGTCACCATGATAGCTTTTGTTCGGTTGCCGAGCTTAAAGGTCTCAACGCTACTCCTTACCGGGCTACTCATCTATGACGTGTTCTGGGTCTTCTTCTCTACGTATATATTTAATGCTAATGTCATGGTGAAGGTCGCAACCCGACCTGCTGACAATCCTGTAAGTAGTGTTTTAGGTCACATACTCAAGATTTAAAAATCTAGGGGGTGATCCTTAGTTGAACTTAACTCTAAGTTGGACTTCAAAATTATGGAGTGCCATTTGTAGCCTTAACATAAAATATATTCAACACCAAATATTCAAGTATTTTAGACTTTTTATAAATTCCACATCAAGAACATGAATCCTCCCTGATAAAAGAAAATATGAATAATTTAAATCAACATTTTGCCTTTTAAAATGAATTTTACAAAATATTTTCATAGATGCTTAACGGCTTTCCATAATTGTTGAGTCCAACTTCGAGATAAGTTCAACTTTGGTTCTTTGTGAACCCCCCCCCCCCCCCCCCCGGGTCAATATTACATTCATCACATCAACCCTTCACTTAACGTAAGCCCTAAATCCCCAAAATGGACCCCTATGAAAAACAACATTCATGCTGAACAGGGTGTGCCATCCCAGAAGTGGTAAATAAATCAAAAAGACAATTGCAACCCTAATCCTAATATTACATCTTTTATTTACAAGATGACCCGGAAGCAGTTATTACCTGAACAAATGTCTGGTCACAGCTAGTACATCATGTATCCCATGTTAATGTGTGTTAGTGACAGTGTTTAGTGTTAAGATACATCCCATATAAAATCCATAAGCATTTAATTTCTATGTGATACATATGTTGGAGTGGGTACCCACAAAAATCATTGAAATGAGGAGACTATATTTGTCTGATTTCATGAGCTGTTAACTTTAATTTGATATTTGAATCAATAATGGCACTAAAACGATTTTGTAGTGATATTTGCTTCTTCTGTTCTGTTGGTATATTCTATTCAAATTATGTGTGAACTCTTGGTTATTTTGATGAAATGTTAAATATGAACTGATTGTTCCCATACTTGTGCAAGACTTTAGAATGATGTTATTTTGTCAAGAGTATATCTTATTTTAATGAAAGAATCAATAGATTTTATCTGTTTCATTTTCACCACATTTGTCTGATCAAAAGTATCACCTGTTCATAGATTTAAAGATAAAGCTTTCAGAGTAAAATCTATATCTGCCTCCAGCACTGGAGATAAAGGAATGATTTGAATTTAGTTCTAGCAGTAGGATCATTGGGGTGTCCCTCAAAGTGTTGAAACCTATCAAATTATTCACTTTGTTCATCAAATGCTAGTGTCAGATAATCCTTGCTACTTACTATTTAAATATATACAAAGCCATGATACACAATACACACCCAAGATAATCTGGGTATGCATTGTAATACTGGGACGTTTGATGTGGTCATGAAGCTAAATTGCCTATCATCTGATAGAAACGCTCGGGCATGGTGACAGTTAAAAAGATGGCTTCTTCCTTCCTCAAACTGAGCAGGTGATCTAAACCATGCACACAGAGAGCCAGAATTAAAGGATCCTTTCTTGCCTGTAGGCCAAGTAGAAATGGATTGGGTATCTTTGTCTCAGATTATGAAACAAAATCCTGGATTTAGCTCATGCTGCAATGATAATTATAAACCTTCAGGTCATTCAGGACTCCCATGACTTTTACAAGCCGATCGCATGTCTGATTATCAAGATATTTATGATTGGAAATCGAAATTTCAAAAACCGTTTTCCTAACGAATTTTTAAAACCACTACAGTCTGTTGGGGAAATGAGTATGGTAAAACCGCTCACTCAAAGATTTTCACTTTTTTAAGGCACTTCATGATCATTTTGAAGCGCAATTCTTTTAGGGCTTCAGTATTACACCATATGACACTGATAACACGTAGGGCCAAGCATCACAGATTTAACATTGTTAAACGATGCCTTTAAGGAGTGATTTCAGAGTGGTCGGAGAGTCCTCAAGTTGTTCATGATGACCGTATTTGTATCCAGCTGCCCCAATGGTGGTTATATTGAATAGTATTTATCATCAAAGTAGTTAATCGTTTATCTGAGAAAAGGAGAGCATATTGAGAAGTCACATGGATGGGTAAAGGTTGACATGGTACTATCATCAATCACATAAATTCATCACTTTTCTTATATTTTTGTTTAATTTATATGATACCATCAGAAAACAAGTATGTACAAGTACTAAGGGAAAACAGAGGTCTAAGTTCAGACCATCCCCAAACTCTGAAAAGGGCCAACATTCATGAAAAAAGAGCCTAATAATCAGACATTTTTGTCAACAGTTAGTGCAATTTTTTTAATAACTTTACACAATAACCATTTTGTCTTCTTCTTTTCTCCTTCCATACCTCTCTCCCGTCATCCTCATTGTTAGGTTGGGATGATGGCCAAGAAATTCAACCTTGGAGTGGCTCGAGATGCACCTCAGCTCTCCCTACCAGGCAAACTCATATTCCCAAGGTAAATATAGCAACTAAATAAATGCTCATTTATTATAAAGTAGACATGTTCAAGTAGTCTAGTGGATTAAATTACAGGGTTATAGATCAAATTAATGGTCTGTGGTTAAAGTCCCTACCCTTTGTACAGACTATCTTAAAATGTCAGCTCTTCCCACTCAAAAGAAAATAGGTACCTGTGAGGATTCCAAAACTGAGCCAATGAAATTGCCTTTGCTATTGGCCTTACACATGCATGAGAACATTTCAATTTATGATATGAATATTACTGAGAGAATGAAGATGACTTTGAAGTCCAGTGATCCAGGGTGATAATAGCACAGTATTTATGATGCACTACTCTTGTGCTGTCTGACACGATGTATTATCCTAATTCAAAACAGAATTCTTGTTTTCTGGCAGTCTTCTTTTCTATTCTTTCTATCACATGCAAAATAACCTTGTCAATTTTTGGCAAGAAATCTTCCTTCATTGTTCTAACTGATGAATTCACTTTCATGTTTTAAAGCATGCAGACTATAGTTTAGTTTTGGTTAGGTATTATAATAATAATAATAATAATAATAATAATAATAATAATAATAATAGTGTATACCGGTATATATATTCAGATGAAACAAAAGATCTATCACAAGACAATTTTCAGACAACTTATTCTTATTATTTTAGCTTGCAAGGAAAACAATCTACCACAGAAGTAGAATGGTTGGAAATGAAATAAAAAAGATTTTCAGCCTGTCAAGAACTAAACCCATCTTTAATTTCCAAGGAGTAATTTCCCTATAGGTCATAGTATAGGATGGCATATCCCTGTAGACCATTCTCTTAGAGTGTGTTCTCACAGACGAGATGTTTGAATGTAAAGCACAATCCGTTCCATTTGAATGACACGGTTAGGTGTACAGTGTGATCAAGCCTGTGCTGATGTGTATGTGATTACATATTACTTATTCATTCCCTCTAGTACATATTACATGCGAGGTAGAGATGATAATAAAGAGAACATGCAGACTGGATGACATGCATAGGACTGAATGTCATGTAAAGGATGTGAGGAGTATTGAAGTGTATCGCTTAACAGCCCTGACCAATCACTCAGGGTATTAATTTGTGTATTATTGGTAGACTTAACTTAAATCCCCCCCCCCAATATTGAGTCTTCCTTTTCCTATATAAATTCCAAACCGTCAGTTAACCTTCCTGGTACATGCTCAACCATCTATCTTCCCAAGATGCTTCTTGCATTATTTGCTGATAGAGCATTCTTAACACCAAGCACAAAACTTTGAAATCAAATACCTAAATTTTCCTGCAACCAAAAAAATTACTGGTACAGGCAAATATGTTACTGTTTTATTGTTTGTTCACCATAATAATCATTATCTTATATCCATTTTTCTGTGACCTTTCCTAGCATGCACAACGCAGGTCATTTCTCGATGCTTGGTCTTGGTGACATCGTGATGCCCGGTCTTCTCCTCTGCTTCGTCATGCGCTATGATAACTACAAGAGGCAGCAGACGGATACCCTCGCACCTGCCCCCATCTTACCGCCCAACAGCCTATCCCAAAAAGTCACTTACTTTCACTGTTCTCTGATTGGCTACTTTGTTGGTGAGTACCAAAGCAACATCGTTTCTTTCACTCTTATGCTACATTTACACTATGCTCCCGGCAGCCATGGCAACCCTGTTAGCCCAAAACGTAGTGCACCGTGGGATTTTTGCCATTTTTTCTCTGTATTCAAGTTTTGTTAGGTCTTGCCAAGTTTTCTCAAGGTCGTGGGAAAGGGGCTGCTGTCCCGGGGGCTCCAATACGCGCGGTTCGACCCGCAGTCTACCACGGATTTCAGTTCGTTCCCTCCCGGCCCATCATTTTCTGATGGGTTCCCTCGCGTTTCTCACGTTCCGATCAAAGTCTGGCACGTTTTTCTAGTTCTGTCGAGGCTTCTTACGGATGAATCGTGGACACCGAAAAGCTTTGTAACACGTTTGCATAAAAATAAGGCTTCCCAAGCAATAGCAATCATTGTATCCCGAGACCACAAGCGCCGTTCAGACCGTAGTAGAACGCAACACGCCTTAGCGCGGGCCTGTTAACTATTCCAGTACTGACCGCCTCCCAAGTTTTATTACGGCTTATTACAGACTCACTTTTTGTTGCGTTCACCCCGTTTTACTACGGCCTACTAGGTTTCTCATACACACTGTGACTGCCATGGCAAATTTGTTGGCAGTTTAAAAATCTGGCCTGGCATCCACGGCAATCACGGCCTGTCACGTTTGCACATTCCATTCCCCCACGTTGTCTCACGTCCATCTCGTTTTGTCAACTGTGGCATGAAACAGGATTGCCTTGGCTACCGGGAACATAGTGTAAACGTAGCATTAGACCATAGGTCGTTCAGTCCTGGGGAAGACATTGATCCGCAAGTACCACAGCAACATTGCTTCTTTCACTCTTACATTAGATCATAGGTCGTTCTGTCCTGTGAAGGACATATGGTTTGTCAATTTGCCAGTTCTTTGATATGCAACACTTTATTTGTTTAATCTTTATGTCTCTTTCAAGAAACTCACAATAACATCACATTATCACAAACTAATGATCTTGGAAAATATAGTGAAAATATTATAAATGATATTACCGTAATTAAAGTTGTATAAACCGCCCTCATGTGTTAACCGCATCCCTTTTTTTTTTTTTTTGCCAACTTAAAAAAGAGTAGAGGACCTAGGATAGAACCTTGTGGTACGCCGTGTAATAGAAGAAAAATTGGAGGAATTATTATTATCAACCACATATTGAAATCTATCAGAAAGATTACTTTCAAACCAAGATAACAGACAAATTTGAGTGTTGTTCTAGTTTCCGAGTGGTGAGTCAACACACCGATTACTGAGCTGGGAGACATTGTCAGGCATGGAGACATTGCCAGGTATAGCCGTGTGTACTGTGTATAAACCGCACCCCCACTTTGAATTTTTTTTCGGCGGCAAAAAGGTGCGGTTAATACACCGTTAATTACGGTATTGGCTGTTGCGAAGATTACTTGAAAAATGTTGAGTCTGATAGTTTACCTGCTTATTTAACGGTGTGAGAATTTAATGGTATATTATTTAAGAAGAATTCCTGTTGACAACCCTGACACCCAATTTGACCAACTGAAGTGCAAAAAAATATTTTACGACTATACCTGTCAGCCTAATGATCCCATTTCTTTCTTTCAGGACTATTAACAGCGACGGTATCATCAGAGGTGTATAAGAACGCCCAGCCAGCATTGCTGTATCTTGTGCCATTCACGCTACTCCCTCTGCTCCTCATGGCTTATCTTAAGGTAGGTCATAATCATCATCATGGGGGTGTTTCTCAATACCATTCTCCATCTAGCTCTATCTGTAGCCAGCCCCAGATTAATCATTCTTCCATCTTCATTGATGCAGTCCCTTCGGGGGGGGGGGGGGTCGAGTTCTTGATACCATCTTCTTCAGCCTCCATCTGTAGCACTGACTCATCCTATGACAATTGCTCCTAGGAAAACAAATTTTTAAATTTCGATTTCCACTCATAAATATCTTGATAATCAGACAGGCAATCGGCTTGTAAAAGTCATGGGATTCCTGACTGACCTAAAGGTTTATAATTATCATTGCAGCATGAGCTAAATCCGTTTCAGAATCTAAGACAAAGTTACCCAATCCCTTTAAACTTCACCTAACCCCAAGTACAACCCTACATCTAAGTACCCTATAATTTTGACAACATAAATGCCGGAGCAACTGTCAGATCATGGTACTGACTACATTCATAGGTGTACACATACGTCCTTCGACTTCGAATTGAATTTTACATAGTAGATGAGTTCAGATGAGTGGGCCAAGATGTGTGAATTCATTATCCTCTATCTGTTTGTTTCCCTCTCAGGGTGATCTGCGTCGCATGTGGCACGAGCCGTTTATAAAGAGCACACAGAACAAGTACATGGAGGTATGACAGCAGAAACACAAACCGCACGTTGTTTGAACCCGAACGATTAACTCGGACCGGAAACGACAGAAACTATGCGCAAAGAGTGTTAATATTGTTTGGAAAGCTGTAGCGGGCATTTTGTATGGAAGCGGCCATCTTGGAGGAAAGCTAATGTTGGACGGGATAGAGAGAGCATGGAGATGGATGTACTGATTTACGTCGTTCGCTGGCCATTGCTTGTCTTGTCTTGGGGCAGGAATGCATCTTTGTATATTAGGAACAGCAGAGATCAGACAATGATGCCATATCTATATAGTCTTAGTTTCGCGTTAACAAGATCCGTTGCTTCGCTTCTCGCTTTGTCTCAGAAAGTCGACTTAGCAATCGCACTTCAGGGAATGCCAAAGTCGGTTGTAAATGTCTGGTTGTAGTTTTAGAGTCTCCTGGCTGAGGAATGTAGTCAAAAGGCAGGGAATTAAATGGTGTACGTCAGCAGGTTTGAATGCTTCATATGAGAAGGACATTGAAATCAAGATGGCCGACATTCAGAAACATTGCCTTGGGTACTTGATGGAACTTGTAGGTGCAAAGACGGGTAATCTGCGATACAAGCAAATCACTTTGACGGCCGTGGTTTGAATAACTGAAATAGCATGAATGTAAGAGTGAGCAAAAGTTTGTGATTGAACAGGATTAATGAAAGAACAGTGGATGTTATATTTCTTGTTAAGTGTTGGGAAGAGGATCAAAGTAAACTGATTTCTCAGCAGTAATTTACTGGTGAAAAGTAGCCCCCTGCTGATGGTACCGTTCTCTACCAACATAGTGGGTTTTTATGCATGGATGACAGAAGCGAGGATTTCCAGGTGTACATCAAAACAGCTCCTGCTACCAACTTGATCATGTTCTGAAAGATTGCTTGGAACTCTATTTGGGTGTCTGTGTATTCAAGCGTCAAACTATGTTACATCAGTAGAGAGTTTAGCCAGGATACTAACCATATTTCAAATCTAAAACAAGAAGCTCTTGAAACGTATGTATGCAATTATGTATTGACATTATCGGTGTAGCTATTGAACGCCCTGTAATGTAAATTAATGACCATTGTGGCATCTTAAAGATACTGTATGACTGACAATCATCTGGCTTCACATTCAATAGAACCATTCTAATTAAGATGATGAACCCGTGGAAGACAGAACCTGAATCCTAGTGAGTTTCAATCTAACTATTCTCAGCTTTGTGTCATCATCATCAATGACCCCTTTGGCTTTGATGGATCGTGTTCAGAATACTTCTATTCCTTGTCTCTTGATACACAGACAAGAGGAACATGGATCTAATGCTAATGGGTTGAGCTAGCTACATGTATGGATTATCAAACAATAGGGCGTTTTAGTCAGTCCAGGGTCAGAATGGTGTTCATGAATAGATATAATACGCTTCTGGCTCTCGACAAGTCAGTGGTATCTTCTCGTACTATCTCACTGTTTTCATATTATCAACTCTATTTGTTTTGTTTATTTTCTTTATTATTTCTTTTGTGTGTAAAATGTGCCAATGTGGTTATTCAATGTTAACAAGGTATCAACACGACATCTGAAAAGGGATGAGAATTCAAACCCCAAGCCTAGCTCTTACATGGTACAGTAAAACACTACAGCAACATTTTTCATGTAAATACATGTAAATGGCAGTATAGGGGGAAAAGAGGCAGGAACACCAAACTCATCCCTCCCCTCAAGCGGGCCCATTTTCTGTGTTACAAGATACAGAATTGTAAAGCAATTGTGCTTATGTCATTTTATTTTGCTGCTGAGTGTTTGTTCTCGGCCAGTTTATCACATCTTGAGTCAGTATCTCTCAATTGTTGCTGAGTGCAGCTGTGTTTTGTTACCAAAAATATTCAGCATTCAGTATTTTTCTTATTTGTTTTAATATCTAAAAGAATCTTTAACAACTGTAAATGTGCAAGGTATATATGCCCTATAAACCATAGCATATCTAAAGTGATAGTTGCAACATGCACACACCTACACACTTGTAAGGTCAGTTCATGGAGCTCCAAATGTTCTCCCACATACAATCTGTCAAGGAAAGAACTATTTTGATGCACCATGACCGTATTTGACCTCTGAATGAGCATGACATTGTGTAACTTCATTGAATCTGCTCTACATCATATAGCTATGCTGTATTTTTCAATTTTTTAAATAATTTTTTAATTGATGTTTTTTTTTATTATCAAAGATATGTTCAATTTGGTGTTAAGTGGATGGGGTTAGTTAGGTAAGGACAATCCTATATGCATTGGGGTAGTTTTAGTTTATTGTTTGTTTTTTTTTGTTGTTTTTTTTTATTTTAATTTTGTTTTTGTTGTGTACACTAATTTAAATGCAGAATAGTTTAGTATATTGAAGGAAAAATGTCCATGTATAATCTGAAAATCATGTGGGCTTAACAACAGTAATAATAATAATCCACTTTTATATAGTGCATAACATATTACATAATGAGAGCCAAATTTGAATTTTTTACGAAGCAATGATTACATTTCAGTGTTGCAATTTATACAGGTAATTCTATTCTTACTACTGGCACTATGGTAGGCAAATTAACTTCAAAAACACATTAACAGTATTGAGCTTTGTGTTCAGTCTGCTTTGCTTACCGGTCATTTCTAACACAAGGGTCATCATGGCCAAAACCAATTAGAGTACGAGACACCCTTTGATAGGATTTCTTCTAGTTAACCCCCAAAGAATGGAACTTAATATCATGTACTTTTTTTTCTTCTTTAATCAGTGAAACATAAACCTTGATGTCAACCTCTCCATTACCAAAGCTAAAAATAGTGTTGTTGCCATGGAAGTTGAATAATTAGTAACATTTTGTTTTTCTTTGGTGTTGCTGGTTTACTTCCCGTGCTCATGACTCTGAGCCTAAGCATTAGAATGAATGAAACAGTTTTGTTTATCTTGAAGTATGAACCTTTGAAGCAATTCAGCCAGTTATCCTCTCTACAAATGCCATTTTTATTTTGTTGTTGTTATTGCTATTTTGCCTGAAGAAATTTTTTTTTTCTTCTTAAACTGGCCTGAAACATGCATTTTTCTTATTAAGAAATATTAACAGACAATTCAACCAATTCATAGTTCTCTTAAATCATGATCTCAGCAAATATCCTGATTATAGGGTATCAAGTATTATGATTTTTTTCATTCTTTTACAAGTGTGCATTTTTTTTTAACTGAAAAAGCGCTTTTCTACTACTACAGCTTTTTCATACCTCGTCTCATCATCCTAACAAAACACTACATCAAAGCCCAGTTGTAGTTTAACATAATAATGTCCTGCTGTCTGTCTATTTAATTGATTGAATGAATGTCATGCTTTGCTAATCATGGTGTTATTGGAGGTAAGCTATGAATGTTGCTCTCCAGTCATTTTCAAGTAGTCTCATGTTGTAATTTTTGTACTGTAAAAATGATATTTAAAGAAAACGATGGTCTATAAATAAATATGAACTCAAAGCAGTATTTGATAGTGGAAATCATGTTATGGAATGGGTATAAATATTTGTTGATATTTTTTCTTAAATGATCAATGTTGACAAAATGTTGTCAGTGGTTGTGTGCAGTTTATATGCCCAAACATATATGCACCCAGTGTAATAAAAATGCTGATCTTGAAAATGTGTCACAAAGTAAAGATATCGCCTTATGTCTTGTATTTAGGTCTCTTTTATACTCATTAAGAAAAAGAGAGAGAGAATGAAGGAGAGGGGAGAGAAAGAGGAGAGAGAAAAGGGATAGGGGACAAAGAGAAGGGAGGATAGGGAGAGAGAGTGTGTGTGAAGAGAAAGAGAGAGCGGGGGTAGAAGAACAGGGGAAGAGAGAGAGGGTGATATAGGAATGACAGGGGATGAGAGATAGAAAGAGAGAAGATCAAGAGAAAGGGGAGTAAGGGGCCAGAGAGAGTCAGGTGGAGGTGGGAGGAGAATAGATAGAAAGAAATAGAGAGCTAAAGGGGGAAGTGGAATAGAAAGAGAGGGAGAGAGTTTGATATGGAGAGAAAAGCTGTTTCCATTTTTTAAAAGTAAAGATATCGCCTTATGTCTTGTCTTTAGATCTCTTTTATAACTCATTAAAAAAAGAGAGGGGAGAGAAAGAGGAGAGACAAAGGGGGATAGGGGACAGAGAGAAGGGAGGATAGTGGAGAGAAAGAGTGTGAAGAGGAAGAGAGGGGGAGAGAGCGAGGATAGGAGGCCAGGGGGAGAGAGAGAGGGGGGGGGGTAGGAATGACAGGGGATGAGAAATAGAAAGAGAGGAGATCAAGAGAAAGGAGGATAAGGTGCCAGAGAGAGTGAGGTGGAGGTGAGAGGAGAATAGATAGAAAGAAGTCAAGAGATAGAGGGATAGAAAGAGATGTAGAGAGAGAGTTCGAGATGGAGAGAAAAGCTGTTGCCAATGTTTGTAAAGAAAAAAAGAAGAGAGATATATTTCTGTTCTTTGTGAGTTGATATTTGTCAAGCTTCAAGAAATTAATGAATAAATGGAAACCACAAACACTTGCATGTTGAAGATGCTAAAAACACGTTTAAAAAAATGCAATTATTCAGCAACGTGTGGATTACTGACCGGTTCCCAAGTTTTTTTGTTACGGGCCAATTTTATTTTTTTCATATCCTGAAACCATACCCTTTGAAAAAGGTAAACCTGATATTATACACATGTAATTCCTGTTCAATGAAATATATACACTGCTTAGCACAGGACATATAATAAGGTAAACAAAAAGAAACGCTCTCATGAGATACCATTATGTGGTTTGGTGAGGGGATGTTTCAAGATCGTTTCACTTTCAAAACAAATAACGACTGTCACGGTGTGTTTAATGCAGTCGTAAACATTTCTTTTTTAATTAAGTAAACTGGATCTATACATAAACATATATTATAAGCAGACGCTATATTTAAGGTTCCAGGACCAAGATGAAAAACAGTTGTTTTAAAGATCTTGTGTATCCTGTATTAATATTTGGTCAAATAAATAAATGAATAAATCAGATTTATCAACATATTAGAAATAAAATGAACAGACTAACAAATACAAAAAATAACAATGTACTCATAAAAGAAACAGAATTAAACATTCCAAAAACATTACCGATATCTGAATAACTGATTATCATCCAATGAAAAGCTCTTTTTAGTCGAGTTTTGTGTCGATAAATAAACATTTGAATGTTCTTCACTACCACCCTTCTGGAATAAGGTGGTTTTATATGACAAGTTGCAACTAATATACAGTTTAAAGAATGAACACACAAAGGTGATGAAACATAAGCAAATATAGCTTGAATCGTTACCACACCTTTCAAATATATAATATATTACAAATAAAATTCCTAAAGATTTGTAGTGAACTATTTACACTATTTACAAAGAACAAGACACACACAAAACTTCATGTTAATGCACTTCTCTTTTCGTGCAAATATTCAAGTGAACTGTTTATTGCCTAGGATCGGAAGAAGAAGAAAAAGCTCTCTCCCTTTAACTAAAAGTAAATCATGCTTATGACATCGAGCCATTGTCATTCTGGTATATCACTTTCTCTTAATTCTTCACTTCCTCTAAAAAGCACGACATCTATAGTTTACTTCATTAAATCAAGTGAAAGAATAAAATCATTCAAACTTTTATGCTGGAACTGCTTGATTCAGACAGTATTCTCAGCATCGTACGATTCAATAACGACTTCATTGATACTGTGCGAGCTGGTTTTCTTGACGGTCTCTTCTGCGTTGATCGAACCTGGGTCGGCTGGCCCGTCAACGTGCTTGCCTTCCATCACGTGCTCGTAGAAGACGCTTGCCTTGTCGACGATGTCGGGTAGAGCCGAGAGGTTCACCTTATCATGTAAAAGCAGATGGAATGATAATAATTTAAAAAGTCTATCTGCGCAGCGTTTTCTGAGAAGAATGTCCATTTAATTTGGGTATACGAAGGGTGTTTTCCATTTGTGAATAAAGCTAAAGACTTTCCTTGTTCTAATATTCCCTTATTTACACATTTCAGCTTGGTATTTCTGTATTTGTCACATTTCGTACGCTTTTTTTCTAAATTCAAACAACCGTGGGAGAAGGCCTGCAAAGACATAACGATTGCATAAGAATTACCCAATTATGACAATGTCACGCAAGAGACGAGATATATAAATACACATTCTATAATCTTCAGTGAGATCTAATTCTTTCTGCTGAAAGTCAGTTGATTCAATACTCATAGTTTAGATAGACTCTACTTTGCATTAGTAACAGAGATGAACCAAGGATTTAGTTTCTTCTTGAAATTGTAATTTTGTCGAAAAAGGTGCTAGCTAAAAAGTTATCAAAACCCAGCGCAGTCTACTACCACATAAGTTAGCATCACTTATCATATGTTTAGTATTGGGTGTTTTGTTTTCTTTCTTGCTTACCCTGAAGAATCCATTAAATGGAGAGTCTAGATCAGCGACCACATAGCAGAGGATAGTTATACTGAATACAGTCATGATACACATCGCTAGCTCCATACGATAGGATGACGCCTGTAGTGTATAGGAAGCAGATTCATAACTAGCATTATAATCATGATCATCAAAAACACAACATGATGGAAGAAAAATCATGATTCCGATATCCGATGATAGGTGTAGCTTTGAAAGGCAAATATCTAAATATCAAAGATACATCCATAATTCTGGCAAAGATCACAAGGGGCAACAAGACGAGACATAGATATCCTTTTGTTTTTAAGGGTTCCATCCGTATATAGTCAACAATTCTAATTAGTGAAACTTCAAGATACCATATAATTCCAAGAGATCAAATTAAAGACAGCGAAAAGTGAACAGAGATGTTCTGTTTCGTCATTCCTCACCTCGTGCACTGGTTTAGGGGAACTACGGCCTACTGCAATGCCCCAAAATATAATAAGAGGGGCGGTCCTTTCGATGTTGTATAGTCACATAAAAGTCATTTATAATGTGTATATTAATTGCATAATTTACAAGTTACAAAAATAAGTTTAAAGGCCGTCTGCACTGACAGATGGTTATCTCATCAACTCAGCTCATCAAAGGGCTTAACCTGAAGTGGCCGGAGTGGCAATGCCTAAATCGAATGCGGGCGAGAATGGGGCGGTGTAAGGTCAATATGGCAAGATGGGGCTATGCCCATGAAGGAGATACTCTCTGCGACTGCGGAGAGACTCCGACGATGGACCACATCTTGCAGCGTGGCGGAACGGGTTGCACAGATGAAGACCTGGCCTTTGTTAATGAAACGGCCATTGCAGCAATCGGGCGATGGAAGAACTTAATTTAATTTAATTTACTTTTAATTAAGGAACTTTACATAACTATCTTGATCTAAGGAGAAGAAAAAGAGGATCATGGGGGACCAACGGGCACCGCTTAGGCATTGTTTTCTATATACAGGTAGAGGGACCAAGTAGCTACAAGTAGTGTAGTGGCGCTTTAACAGTTTCGTATCAAATATGATTTGAGCATTACGTCAAGGAGTAGGACACCAAAGAAAGCGAAGAAACCGAGTGCTTCCAGGAAGAGCCATTTAAGAGGATGAATCCTGGTCATCATCACCTCATATCTCACAGCAGAATCAGAGTTCAGACCGACCACGTGATCCATCAAACTATCCTGAAGAAAAAAAGAAAGAAAGAATAAAAATAACTAGTAAATTTTCGTAATCCACGAAGTATATATCTTGGATGATCGGTGCAAAAATGGTGAAAGCACATCAATATTACACGACCTTGATAGTCGTTGCTAATCAACTTTTCCCGAAAATCACCGACAATAATACAAACGTTTATAAAATAATGGTTAAAAAAAACAGAAAGAGGGTATACACAGAACTAAAATTAAAATCGAAGAAATTAGCTTGATACTTGGACGAAGTAAATTTGTATTGCGGTACAAGATGATTATATTTTTTCGGATAAAAATTACTTTTATATTTTTTCATACTAAAATACGATCAGATGCTTACCAGGATGTGCCTGTCCAAGTGCCATTGCTCTTGTCTGGCTCCAGAATTTCGCAAGATAGGGACAATCTTTATACAAGGAATGATATATAGGAAAGGTGATCTAAAATGATTGCAACATTAATAATCTTAATGTTTAGCCGAATATACAATTAAAAGTAAATGACATCGTGAAATAGTCGTTCTGATGGAAGGTTACGATAATATTATACTCACATCATTATAGAGGAAAGTGCAAATATTAGGCCTATCAATCGAATCAGCGGAGAGTTTTGTTATCGCTGCTTGACGATTGAGATGGGTTTATCAGATAGCTAATACAGGTAACATTTCAAATGAGTTAGTTTCAATGGCAGAAAGAAGGGGGCCCACGGGCCATGTGCCTCCACTTCCCAAACAAAGTTTTCGTCCATATAGGATCGTGTCGTCTAAGTTCTCAAGGAAGAGGTGTAAACGAATTCGGTGTCTCTAATTTTACTTAGGGATTGGAAGTGCTCTTTACTTTAGATGTTACAAAGAACATGATCATAATAACTTTTTAAACATCAACTTAAGGCAATTTTGACTGAGCCTCGTGCATCACCTATTGAAATATGAGAACATGACAATGAGGTATTATGTAATCTGAACATAATTTCTAATGTGGGATGTACAATGTATTATTATTATTATTATTATTATATGGTATTGACATTTTATCTTCAGTTGATTTTGGGGAAATAATTGTCATTGAGTTAAAAGTTCTTCCTTGGAATGTAGAAAAAGAGAGCTTATATTAAATTACCCTCCAGATTTGTCCACTGCAGATAGCACCCTTGTAGTTATCTGTGCTTCCTTTACAAACACCTTGAATCTGACGAATTATAGTGATGGCTTCATCTTTCACATACCAATAGATCTATAAAAAGACAATGTATAAATAACGAATAGAAATTTTAATGACGTATCTATGAATTGACAAAATTGGTGACTGAATTCTAGTGAGCATTTTCGATAATAATTTTTCAAAATCTTAAAACAGATTTCATTTAAGACTTGTAATGTTGTCTCCACGTTACTGATTCACATAATAGTATAATCTTTGAAGGGCGTTTTTCGAACAATATATCTCTCTCTCTCTCTATTATCTCACGTTCTTTTCCTTTTTTTAAATGTTTGCAATTTGATTAGGGTGGGCTCGTAAATCGTCGATTTATTCGTCCGATTCTTTTCCATTACTCGATCGTGCTTGACAAACATAGATTATAAAGTCTACGTTTCAATCATTTAAACGGATTGGGTATCAGTAACCGTGGGTCCATACCATCGCCTTTTCTTTCAGAGTGATGTACGTCATATGTGACGTCATGACGATAATCTGGTCGAGTTTGGAGACCTCGCCTGAGACGATGCTGATGAGAGAACGTTGTTTTTCCATAGCCGATTGGTAGGAGAATCCGAAAGATGTTCTGTGATATGATACCAGTTGCTGAAACCATCAAGATGACCAGAGGGTGGGGGGGGGGGGGTAGGAACTGGGGCCTTACTAAATGTCTCAGCTAATAGGCTCATTTTTGCCAAGAGAATGATAACTGAGCCAATTGAATGTTATAATGTGATCACATATTACTCTTAATCATGACGCTGATCTTTTTACCATACGTAAATAAATTACCAATCAATGAACATTTTTTTCATATTAATGAAACAAAATTAAAACATAACATGTTACATAAATATCTAAAACTCTGACACCGTCTTCATGGACCGCCTTTATATTATCGAAAGTGACGATTATGATGAAATTATATCTATTATTCTAAATCGCAGCATTAGCCCAATCACTTGCCGATATAAAGTCTCCGAATAATTTAATCATCTGATTGCAAGCAGTTGTCGCATTTCATTAAAACTGTGCTGTGCTGTAAAATGTTTATAGTATGTGTCAGAAAGCTATTTAATTCTTCATGTTATGAATATCAGAATTTTAAAGAAGAAAACAGCATACTTACGCATAAACCAGACCAGCAGGTATCAGAAAACAAGCTGTGCAAAGAGAAAGAGGATGAGTGGAGAAAGGAAGGTCCGATCAAGTCGTCTCTTTATTTTTCTCTCGTTTTTTATTTTGTATAATTATGCACCATCGTCTTTCTAAATCTTCTTTTATTGAAACCATTACTGATGAACTAAGTAAGTGTATAGGAAAATTCAAGTTTTATGATTTCAATCAACGTTGTTATCTTTGTCATCTTTTCTGACTTTTGTTATTGTTTTTAACCGACACCTATGTTGTATATGCGGCTGTTTTACGATCTAAAGATTGTGAACAAGCATTCATTTACTAAATACTATTTTGCAGTTCCGTCTTCGCTCGTTCAGTCATCACCATGGGACCCGTTTCACAAAGCATTTTTTCAATGAGAAAATGATAAATCAGTTACAAATCTGCTGATAACCAATCAGAAACAAGGATTCCACTAGCTTATAACAAAAACTGTCACTTGTCACTGATGACAAGTGAAATGGGGCCCAGTTCTTACCGATAGCGTCGTTGATGACTGGTGTTCCCTCGGGGAATTGATCAGGAGGCCAGAAGAACCGAGCCACTGCGGGATAGATGAAGAGTACCAGAGGACAGAAGGCTAGGGAGAGAAGAGCTGGAAGGGCGATACGGCATAGGGGGAGGGGTCGGTTGAAAAACAGCTCCATGCTGTGAATCGTGTCAATGTCAGATAGGCTCAGAACTGTAAGCAAGTAAAGTAGGATTGTATTTTTTTTTAAGTGAACATTGGTTGCACTTTATGTTTAAAATGGAGAGAAACAAAATAACAATTACAAAAATAACAATTAAAAATAAAATATCAACAACAACAAAAACAACAAAGTTGATTTGCAATGCTTGGATCTTATCATTATGGACAACATTGAGGGCTATATTCTCAAGGGAAAACAAATGTAAACAATACGAGAGTACTGAATAGAAGCCCGTATACTAGGCAGCCATAGCTGCTATCTCAAGTAGATGTTAAGTTATTTAAAGAAATTCCAAGAAAAAGAAAGCGCCTCTCTCTCTCTCTCTCTCTATGTATTGTATTTCCTTTTATCTTTATTATTACTTAGTGATTGAGCGAAGCGGCGTCAACCCCCCCCCTCCCCCCCCCCGCCCTCAATATATCTTGCTTACATGCATGTGTAGCGGCCTCCCTCATCTCCTGTAGGCCCGCCATTTCGGCGCCCCCGAATGATGATGCCAAGTCCCTGAGACTAGGCTGCATGAAATAGTCCTCCGTCAGCTTTCTTACTTCATAACGGTTTCTCATTAACTGCGCCTTTATCATGAGCACAGACAGACCTGTGGGAATAGAATCGGAAAAGAATTGTAAGGCCATTACAAAAATAAACATGTTTAGCGTCCCCGCCCGCCTCCTTTTTGGGGGCCGCCTCCTATTTTTTGTTTTTGTTGAAATTTTGAAGAAAAAATTAAAGATAAACTTTAGTACTGGTAATGCGATTGCATTGTGAAAGAAAAGGTGTGAAAGGATCAGAAACAGTTGATCATGGAGCATGTAAGTATTGGTGTGCACTGCAAGGTTCTGGAGTCATCAAAATCATAATAAATTTGACCGAGTCTTGGTAAAGTAACAAACACTCACATAGAAAGCTATATATGGGACAACACACATGGTGTCGGGGATGGCACTACCTTGGTTTCCTTGTCTTTCTATGCTCATTACTCAGCCAGTATACATTTTCTTCCAAAATTGTTTGGCACATGTCATTTATTTGTAATCTTGAACATTCAGTGTAAGTTTCGTTTGATTCTGTGAGAATTAATTTCTTTTTTTTTACCAGTACTGGAGTTTATCTTTAATTTTTTTGATGGAATTTTTTTTGGATTTTTTTTGGATTTTTTTTTTAAAGAAAAAAAACATGAAAAACACTGCTAAAATGGATCTATTACTGATTTAAAAATTTTTTTAAAAATGTCGGCGGCCATCTTGAAAAATAGTCTGACTGTCAGGGAAAAGGTACCGAGCGGCCATTTTGAAGAAGAAAAAAAAGGGCTATTCCTATTTTTTTTTAAAATCAGGACGCTAAACATTTTTTTTTTATATATATATTTGGCCTAAGATGATACAGGAACACAACCCTCTATGTTATATAGCCCCCTTCCTCGGTAAATGGCAAAAAGGGGAACTCGGAGAAAGGGAGATAATAATTGGGAAAGAGAGAGTGGGAAGGGCACGAAGAAGGAAGATGATATAGGTGGGATAAACCCTCCCCATCGTTATTCTAATTGATGTGTTTTTCTTCCATTTCATTCACCACTATAAGCCAATTCCCCCCCCCCCCCCCCCATGATGCCAGGGCCCATTAGAATGTAGAATCATCGCTACACCACTGATATAATACATGGTCTACAAGATAATATTTACACAGTTTTTCTCATTTAACGATGTTGCATGACATATCAAATTTGCTGTCAGTTTTGTCGAAAAGTGGTGGAGAATTGGAATAACAAAAACTTACCAATAACGGTATTAAATTTGAGTGTGGAGTGTAATTTTTTGTAGGGGGTCTATCTGACAACAGAATTCATTTTGGGTCTAATGTCAGGACTAACATCAACTAACGTAACAATTACACTTCATGTTTTTACCAGAAAGTGGTTAATACAGAATTGCAGAAAATATGTCAACAACTTTTGACATTGTAAAGGCACAAAAGTTCAATTACTACATTATATGTAATGTACATAGGAAAATGATAATGATAGTTCATAAAAGCTAAACTGCCCCCCCCCCCCCCAAAAAAAAATGAAATATGAAGAATTAAAAAAAGAAGAAAACTGAAGAAGATTATTTTCTTTCTCTCTCACCAATAACAATGATAAGCATAAGAATAAATGGCGGGATGATGATCTCTGCAGCGTTTGGTGTGCCGCCTGCCTCAGCATACGACAGGGGTTCATCGTCTGGTTCGGCTGTCGTCCCTTCGGCTAGGGCTGTCGGGTCAATCTCGGGCGGACCGGTAGCCTCGGACAGGGGTTCGGATGTTGGTTCTAGAGTGGATGATGCTATGGTAACAGGCAGTACGGTACCGAGGATGATGAATATGATGAGCGGTGTTGCGATCAGGAATGTCCCCGCGTCGAACCGGACGAACCAATGACATTTTCGCCAGCTAAAAAAAACATGTTGGGAAGTGCAAGGTTAACGCTGACTGATTGATTAAATTCTAGATTTAAAACAAAATTATAATTTGAAAACGGGCGTCTGCCCCTCCTAATTCGACAAGTTCTGGACCCTTGTCGTCTTTATTCAGGATGTTTGACCAGAGTGCACATGTGGGTTGTGTGTCCGGCCGGACTCTTAACAAAAAGGCAAAAGTGCGAGCTTTATTTTGTAAAGCGTCCGGAAACACGACCCACATCATACTCTTTGAAATTATCTGTCCGGCCGAATACACAACCTAGGTCTATCCATAGATAAGGGCTGAGTGAAAAGTAGGGGTGTGAAATGTATGTCACGAGTTTCCCGATGGTTTATTCAGACGTTGTGTCTCCGGACAGTTGATTAAAAACAGCAATTTTACATGCAATAATAAATTCATACATCTTTTGAGACCTTTGATGGGGTGTTGGATGTCCGGACACTTCATTAAAAAAATATTCATCAAATAACATTAACCGTTATACCTAGATCTAGAGTCTAGACCTAGAGTCTATGTGTCCTTTATAATATTGTCCAACATAATTCTGATGATGATAATTATGATACTTGTTGCTTTTGAATTTCTTTAAATTACTGTGTTAAATAAACTTGTCCGGACACACAACTTGTTGGTAAAGGATGAATATAATGGTAAATGCAATGTGATGCGTATTTTTCGTAAAATCGAACTGCAAACGCATTTTTAAGTGCCCTCTTACCCCCCCCCCCCCCCCCCCTCAATGCCCAAGCAACCAGCTATTCAGGGTCTGGGATGATGTAAGTGCCGCCGATTCTCGATGGTGATGTCGGGAAATTTCATCCTCTCCATCTAATCTTTTCACAATTTTGAATCCATCCGCCCCTGACCTGGAAAACAGCATCACCATCATTTTCAGAAATAAATCTAGGTCTAGCATTACATGAATCTGAATCTTACCTTGATATTAGCGACATCTTGTTGTAACGGGAATGGTAGGCTATACAAGTTGGAGTAATTCTTCCATCTACACCAATCCTATTCTACAGAAGGCAGATGGCTAGATTTAGGGCTTAAAGTAAATCACAGAATAGTTTTTATATAGTTCAAGCTTGTTTCGCGCAATGTTAGGCAATTAACGCGAAATGTACGCAAGGCCAGTATACGCGCATGGTACGTCTTTTTCATACTCGAACTCTTTTGTGACGTATGACTTGTATTTTTAAGCAGGCCCCTTTAAAATTATGCATAGGGCTAGGTGCGTAGGCTATATGTTCGAAACGATATCAATACCAAATGGAAATACTAATGGGATGAATTGTATCAAAGTCTAGTTATATCAACCTGAACCATGCACACATTTTCTTTCCACATAATATAAATCTTTCGCAATACTTCATGTCATTGGTTCCAACTTTATACTTATGTGTATGTGTGTTACCTGTAGCTTCTTGCATTTAAATATCAGTTAAACGCGATTTGATAAATATAAAAAGGGACATTGCCACCATTTAAACCATCAACATCGCCCTCATCGTTTTATTGTCATATCGCTTTAACTTTAAATCAGCAGTTTGCAAAATAAATGAAAATAACATGCATGAGTGAACATGAATTGCACTTTTTATTGTAGCATTGTAACTTTCCCTGGTAGACTAAGGTTACCCATTTACCTGAAGAATAATTAGCCGACATCTTGGACATTCCTTTTTTCAACAAACCGTATTTGAATATTCAATTTACATAATCCCTACCTGGTTATTAAGTAAATCAATTAGATGTTCGCTAGGAGGGTCAAATCTGACTGACATGAGCGCTATACAAGAACCCACTAGTATTACTATTATTATCTTACAATAACTGAAATGTGGGGTGAAGGTTTTTATTCAAAGTCACAGATGTAAAAAAAATTACAACATGTACTATCACCCCATCCTGACTCCCATCAACACTGAGTCTACCAGGGAAAGTTGCAATGCTACAATAAAAAATGCAATTCCTGTTCACTTATGCATAAAAGTTTGGTTTAATAAACCATGAAATTCACTCAGCAAATCATGAATGTGTCATATCACCCTCACAATTGGAAGGCTAATTCCTGCGCAACCTAATTTACAAAGGTGAACAGTGCTCACCCAAGCATGAATTATTTTCTGATTTTGGTGTCATATGAAAGTTGAGTTTATGAGCTTTCCATACAAATAAAACTTTACCCCCAGAATCATATATTTTTTTATTTGGCAGCCATTTCAAAAGTGTATAGTTTATTTTGGGACGCACGGTATAGCAACCTACAATTTAAAAAAAAAGGGGCATGCCTGCACTGTTCACGTGCACATTTACATTGCCAAATGTCTTTCATGTTAACCAATAACCATACAGGCTATGACAAGGTGATCGAATTTGTAGTTTATTTTATTAAGGAACGTATTAAAGGGCTTATCCATTCTTTCCTTATGAAATTTTCAAATGAACGACATTCACCTGTTCTATTTTGTCAACCAGGCACAAGAGCTGGTTGTTTTTTAATATAATTTATGATTTAACTTAGGCTAATAATTGTGTACAGGTAATTCACTCGTCTAGACTCCTCATCATCACGTGGTTAGCGCATTTCTTTACCATGATTACATGCAGGGGCATATCCAGAGGGGGGGGGGGGGGGGTGGGGACCCCTCCTACCTGGGAAAACAAAAAATGGAAACCACATTTTTACCTTTTTGTTTTATTTTTGCTATAGAGGGGGGGGGGGGTGTTGAGTAAAAAAAGTATTAAAAAAGTGCTCACTACCCCCCCCCCCCCCCCCCGTTAAGCAACAAAAAAACATTATGGTCCCTTCCCCGCGCCGGCTGGATCCGCCCCTGGTTACATGCTCCGATGGTTAACAAACATAGAATAGATGCTGCTTGTAAGTGTCGGCTTGCATGGTGATGTAGATATACTGTATAACCATAGAATAGTTCTTCGAAACTATGGACGAGACTGGTGACGATGCACATCTTATGAGAAGAGTGGCGGTTAATGATATAGACCAAGAATGAATAAACACGAGTTCAGTCTCACAGCTTAGAACCGAGTTACAAGTTTAAAAGCCAAGTACGTGAAAGTCTTTGAAATCATGATAATAGATTTAATTGTATGAATAGAGGCAATGGAGCGATCAAGATACTGCTGGACCATGGACACCCGAACACTAGTTTAAAACAGTCGGTATTCCCACGTTTTCTTCAGTTCCCTCTTTTCGATTCGTATTGGTGAGTACATTGTATTATCTTCTCTACTTTTCCTCATAGCATTGTATGCATGTGTGTATGCTATCACAGTATATATATGATTTTATACTGGTGTTATGTAGGAGAGATATACTATAAATCAGATTGTTGCTAGGTTGCTGGTATATAGACAAACCTTTTTTTTTTAACATTATGCATGTATTTGCTACTTGGTTGGGTAAACCCTTTGGCAGCTCACTCAGGAAGCTATACTGGGATGGTAGGTGAGGCGAGTAATTGCACTATGAATATGACAGACAAAGAAAGCGGACAAAATATGCAGTTCCTCAGGTAGACAAAGGAACATCCCTTCACTGCTATTATGTAAAAATGTGTAGAACAGGTGTCACATGCATATTCACCTGTTCTACACATTTTTACTTAATAGCAGTGAAGGGATGTTTCTTTGTCTACCTGAGGAACTGTATATTTTGTCCGCTTTCTTTGTCCTTCATATTCATAGTGTAACTACAACGAGTGTCAAGAATAGGCCATTTTCGTAATGTAACCAAATTTAATGCATACGTCTTTGTGAAGTGCCTCAATATAAATTATTTCATTCACCTGATAAGAATAATAGTATTTCCATAGTCAGAATGCAAACTGCATTATATTAAGTGTTGCTAGGTAGGTCAAGCCATGTCCTTCCTGGCAACAACTAATGTATGCAATTCAAATTCTGTCTATTGAAATACTATTAAATCTTATCAGGTGAATGAAATAATTTGTATTGAGGCACTTCACAAAGACTTATGCATTAAATTTGGTTACATTACGAAAATGGCCTATTGCAGGAATGGTGTGTGGACAAAGCACTCGTTAATTTACAGTAAAATATGCTAAAAACCAGAGTATGTTTGTTTGTATTTCATCACAATATAATCTTGTAATGATGTTCTCTATATAATTTTTCATGTGATATATATTATTGTAAAAAAAAAACTGCTTATCGCTGGGTTTCTTATATGTTTTTTTGACCCGTTGACTACTGATTTATCTAATTCCCATAGGCTTAACATAGGGACCACCAGGTTCCAGTAAGCAATGGGTTAACTTTTGACTAACTCACACCTTGTAGTTAAAACTCCATTTGGTATATCCCATTAATTGTTTAACTTTAATCATTAGAAACATATTGTTTTACACTTTTTGTGTTAAATGAATGGGGGCAAAGTGACTACTTTATATTGTTCTCTACAAAATTAATATAGGAAGAAAAGGAAACATCTCTGTCATTGGAACTCTGTAGATTAGTGCAGCCATTATCCATCTACATCTACAGGTTTCTACAGCCTTCCCATTATTCTTCACGTCGAATCCTTAAGCCTTTATTGGGGCAAAGTGACTAAAGAACTAATTAAAATGATAAATGTCTTGTACCTATTTTTAACTTTAGGTATGAGCTTTTTAGAAGAAAAAAAAGGAAATAGTTAGAGAGCCTCATGCTTTGAATTCTTTTTACCCTTTTGTAAAATACTTGAGGATTTAATAGTGCAGCAATTATAGGGCTACTCAATGGGCCCCTTTTCTTGTCCTTATAATGAATCCCCTAAAATAATATTGTGATGCTTATATTCCTCCCATAATTCTTCCTAACCACACTCTCCTGCCCCTCCCATATACCAGACCCCCCTTCATCCCTTCCAATCGTATGGTTCACCTCCTCGTTCCCTTTCTCATCCCTATCATATCTAGAGACCAAGGGGTCACACATGTCTTTGCTGGTAGAAGGATTGCATAAACCCATCTCTTCCTCATGTTTCTGCTCCTCCAAGGTTGTCTCTTCCATGGTGTGATCCATGTGATGATGATGCAGAAAGAAGTCTGTGTTTGAAGTCATCAACTACTCTTCTGGGTCCTACCTGGCACCTGAACTATGATGATTCACGCAATAGGTTGGCACTGGGCAGATGATAAGCAGGTTCTTAGAGTCAACGGGAGGTAAGGAAGTCATACTTTTATGTAGCATTAAT